TTTTTTATTTAACTGTGCAGAATCATCGAATTTTCATTTATATTCATCTTTTATGAACTATTAGCAAAGTATCCAACGAAATATCTCCACATGAAACGTAAAATTGGAATAACTATTTTTTAAACACCAGCTTTACAATTGAATTTTTAATTACAAGGACAATGATTTCTGTGCAATATCTCTGAAGAATAATGTAATTTTCTATGACGCCATCAAAGTGTCTCGATTCAACTAGGCTCTCACTGGATTTTGAGCGGGATCGGTCCAGTACCTTTCAAATTGCGAGGGAGAAAAACAAAATTTTAATTGAGAAAGGTGATGAAAAAAAAATCGACAAGCGGCTTGTTCAAAGGATCGTGCCCACTTCAATCCACCCGTATCAACGTACAGAAATTCAGGCGCGAGCGACCAGCAATGCACCTCTAGTTAATTTTATTTTGTCTACATGTTTCGTCATCGGTTTTTTTGCTGTACTCCAATTCTCTTCATTAACGTTACGACAAAAACCCGTCGATTGGACACCGTTGTATATAGTAGCTCTACTGTGAATCAATTGAATAGCAGGAAAATCAGAGCTTGCACCAAGGGCGTTCCCCTATTTTATCGAAAAGAAAAATAAACAAATAGTTTTTGAGATATTGCTATATCTCGAGAAATAGTCAACCAATCGATCTAAAATAGCTAAATAATGGTCAAATACTCCCAAATAATGGCCATTATTCCACTAAATTTTCAATGTTTAATATCGATATTTAAATCGATTTCATTGAAATGGAAGAAGCCCCACTCGTGGAGCCATCCACTCTCGCATTAAGTCAAAGTAATTTTCTCGTAAAATTAAAAATCTAAAAAATGATGGATTACACAGCTTCCGTTCGAAAACAAAATGAAGAAGTCGAACTAAGAGCTGATAGGCGCGATTTGATGATTATTCCGCATTGATAGAGCCAATGATAAATAAACAAATGTAAAAATGTGGCTTTCTCACAGAGCACTTCTTAGCGACTCCCTCGTTTTTCATGTGTATACCTTTTCATCGGCAACAATAGAGGGTCTGAAATACACACTATATCATGATACCCACCTAAAAACCCTCGTGTGCGAAAACGCAATGAGACGTGTATCGATTTTCGGTAACACAATCTTGAGTGGCTCTCTGTTGAGCGATAGTCACCAGTACGACACTGTTAAGTGCTCGTTTCACACCTACTAGGAGATACGGCTATTAATTCACTTCAACATCGAATCAAGGAGGCATGAGGTATAAAGAGCGCGACTGGAGTGTGGGATGAGGTGATAGTCTCACACTTGCTCCATTAATCCTCCCGCGAACAATGATGATAATTTGTAGCTACTTTGGGGTGTGATAGATTTGAAAGAGTTGATGGATAATAGAGGACCCAGAGTGTGTGAGATGTTGAGAGTATTGCTAAATGAATGTGTCCGATATGCTTACCGTGGGTGGAGGTGTGCTGATGACTTGGACTGTGCTGATGATGATTTGAAGATGCTGCAGCACCGGGTAATACGTGTTGTGCATGAGCTGTTGCTGGATGTACATTAATTCCGGGTGATGATGGTAATTGACCAGCCTGATGCACCTGGTGATGGGCAACATGATGAGCTGGATGTGGATGTGGAGGTGGTAAGAATGCAGCAGCGACAGCCGCTTGAGCATTCAAGTAGGCCATCCTTGAGGCAGTTAAATTCCCGAGGTTTCCCAAGTTTCCGAGATGATTCGTCAAACTCGGCATGTAGTCCCATATTTTATGATGGGGTGTTGTTGGTGCGTAAGAGACAGCTGATACACCAACTGGCGGTGAACTCTGGGGTGAACCTCGATCTGTATTAGTGGAGTTACCTGTCCCGTTCAGCCCCAAAAGCTCTTGAATCGCGAAAGGCGATCGCTGCGGCATCTTTCGATTGTTTTTCCTTCACCTTCAGATCAATTCAACACTCTATCACCCTCATTTCTCTTTCTTTTATCAACTTTTTCACTTTGTTATCATCCAATGATCTCTTCAACATCCATTCCTACTTTGTTCAGATTCAAATGAGTTAAGCTTCTTGTTCACTTTCATTAGTTAATTATTTCTTCACTGTGGACAATCAAGCAAGTCGTTGAAAACTCTCTACAAGCTTTTTCAGTCTAACAGTCCGTTTAATGTATTTGTGAGCTGTTCTCTATTGTAATGTCTGCAGCGACGGCCTCACGTTCAGGATAGTCTTTCTCATATTACCATCCGACGGTTCGGGCTTCTCATTCTCTATTTCCTTTAAGTTTTCTCTCCCATATTTACAGATTTCGTATTCCTTATCTTTACAGAATCAGGCTTGAGTTAATAATCATTGGAAGCTTATCACCAATGAGTTCTGACAAAATCAAAGTTGGTATTATGATGCCACAGTTTGAAATGTAGTTTGGAACGTGATGAATTTTCACTAGACGACGGCTGCTTCAACACCCGGGCAAGCCAATTACGTGTAATTACCGTCACCTTTGGCAAATAAATATTTCAATTATTAGATGGCAAGTGTCAGTTGGACAATTGATGAGAATTTTTA